GAGCAAAAAACTGAAGAAGAAAACAGTGTGACAACAAAAATGAGTTCAAGAGAAGACCAGGACATCAAGTACAGAATGTAAAGAATAATTAAAATAACAAAAGTGAGTGCATCCTGGGCCAATATCACTAGAAACCTACAAATCCTGTCCATTAATTATTTTTATTTGTTCTTAGTCAGAGGCCAAGAAGAATGAAATCACTTAATCTGAAAATCAGTTCGACTAATTAAACTTTAAACCCATGTTTAAGAACCAATTGCAACAAAAGTCAGTTCACGGTTCATTACTCATTCTTTTATTTATTTATATTTGACTTATTTTGAATGTAGTATACCTTGATTTTTGGAATCATGGAGGATACAGTCGTGCACTAATCATAGTGTCATCTATGAATGTCACCACTTCTACACCTTTAGCACTCATGTAACCCCACTAATGGCACAGCCACCGGGAGCAACTTGGCGGTTCAACTTCTTGCCCAAGGACACTTGGGATTTGAACCACAACCCTCCAGTCAGGAGATGACCCACTCTACCTACTCAGCCTGTGTTATCATTGTCACCTATATGACCTATTTGTGGTTAATTACACCTATGTTAAAATACCCCATGCTTGAATTTAAAAACTATACAACTATTAATCATTTAACATTTTAGTGATATCATGTTGGGTTGTACTCAGTCCTGTTCCATAATGGATAAGAAAAAAAACAGTCAAAACAAAAAAATCTTTGAAAATAGTTGTTACACTAAGAGGATTAATAGTATTTAGCCCTAAAACAAGGTATATTAGATGGCTCATTGTCCTTGTGGTTCATTTGATCGCATCTGGAATCTCATTAGCGTAAAGAGTGAATTTATGGCCAGTAAAGAGATGAGGGTGGTCAGTAAACCCAAACTCCAGATTTAAAAACCCTTTAGGTGTTGTAATTTTTCATTCTACATTAAATATTTTTCTACAGTTTGTATATGAATTACAGTAATAATGTTGTGTGTGTGTGTGCGCCTTCTTACTGTCCTGTCCCATGAGCTGGTAAAGCTTGTTCAGTGTCTCTGTGTGTTCCAGCACTGGGTGGTTTGGTGCGTGCTGCTCCTGACTGGTCTCGCACTGCTGGGAGTGCGGGGGTGGTGTCTTACTGCTGTAGCTGCACACAAAAGACGGCAGAATAGTCGGATAGTTCATCCCCCCATTTAGTCGCCGAAGCAGTGCCCCCACGCTGTGGGCGACAACGGTCGTGTTGCCTCCACCACCGCTATTTCCATTTGTACTTCCTCTCCGGACAGGAAGCGACTTCATCTCCAGCTCCTCCCACTCTCCAGTACTTGCCTCTCTGTTCACGTGCACTGTGGTTGTCACACTGATGGTATGCTGCCCCCCGTTGCTGAGGTGACAGTGCTGGTGCTGATGGTGTTGCAGAAGGTTATGGATTGGTCTCAGCCATAACGTATTACCCGGGCCCGGGCCACCGCATCCCCTGCTAGAACCATGGCTGTGTCCATTTCCGCCGCCATTACTGCCTCCACCACTGCCATTAGGATTCACCTTTTTACGCCGTTTACTGGTCAAAGGACAAGAGACATGAATAATACTGAACATGGACAGGGAAGGTAGTATTACTTTCAGGCATGTCTTTGTGTGTTTGCATCTAAATGCATCTCTTGTGATGTGGTTCTGAAGAGTTTTAAGGGATTTGCAAGCTATAATTTTATGACATAATCTACACAATAAACAGAGCCCAAATGCTTATAACAAAAGATGTTTTAGATGCCACAAATGGCTCATAACGTGTCTCAACTAGACATAAGAGGACCAGTAAAGACTGAACTGCTGGGGAAAGAATGATTAGTTTAACCTGAGGGAAAATTCTGATTATAATTCCGATGAAGGGAATTTCTCCTAATGTTCAAGTTACATTTTAGCCTTTTGGAAAAAGGTTAACTTCATTTTATGACACTTCTGGGCCTTAAAAAAAACTTTTGCCCAGTCCACAGCACAGCCTGTACAGTATGAGTATAAAAGTTATTTGTGTGGATTTGTACATCCAGAGTGTATCTCACCCGTTCCATCCCAAGTATAGCCTTTGCAACCTGCGTATGAACTTGCGATAAAGGTGACTGATGTAGCGTAACATTTCCTCATAGCATGAGCCTGGCTCACTATAGCTGGCGAGCGTGGAGTCATTGGACATGTAGCGTGCACGCTGTTCCCTCATCAGTGCGTTCTCTCTTTGCTTCGTCTCAGAGAACTGGGTGGCGATGACCACGAGGCACAAGTTGATCATGAAGAAAGAACCCACCTGGTTGTGGAGATTTAAAAAAAAAAAAAAACGTAAGGCTGCAGCAATGCAGCTTTGTAACGACACAGGAGCAGGTAACTGTTACCGTTATCCTGCAGACCTACTCCATAAAATTCTAGTCAAGTCTTTCACCTTGTTGGTAAAATAGAAAATCAACAATGACTGAAACAATTCACTGTAGATTTCATCCTTCCTTAAGGTCTTAATAATGTAATAAAACACTGTGTCAAAATGAAGCATTATTATGGTTTATATACACTCAGTTGGCAGTTCACAGCACAACAGTCGTGCAATAAATCCTCCATTCATGAAAGTTCATTCAACTGTATGGTCATTATGGAAGATGCAGTCTGTGGTACTGTTGAACTGTATTGATCCAAAATTATTAGATTTGAATCTGTGGCTCTCAAACTGTTTCAAAAACTGAATGTCGTTGCCTTCATAAAGACATGATTTACAGTGCCTTGCGAAAGTATTCGGCCCCCTTGAACTTTGCGACCTTTTGCCACATTTCAGGCTTCAAACATAAAGATATAAAACTGTAATTTTTTGTGAAGAATCAACAACAAGTGGGACACAATCATGAAGTGGAACGAAATTTATTGGATATGTCAAACTTTTTTAACAAATAAAAAACTGAAAAATTGGGCGTGCAAAATTATTCAGCCCCCTTAAGTTAATACTTTGTAGCGCCACCTTTTGCTGCGATTACAGCTGTAAGTCACTTGGGGTATGTCTCTATCAGTTTTGCACATCGAGAGACGGAAATTTTTGCCCATTCCTCCTTGCAAAACAGCTCGAGCTCAGTGAGGTTGGATGGAGAGCATTTGTGAACAGCAGTTTTCAGTTCTTTCCACAGATTCTCAATTGGATTCAGGTCTGGACTTTGACTTGGCCATTCTAACACCTGGATATGTTTATTTGTGAACCATTCCATTGTAGATTTTGCTTTATGTTTTGGATCATTGTCTTGTTGGAAGACAAATCTCCGTCCCAGTCTCAGGTCTTTTGCAGACTCCATCAGGTTTCCTTCCAAAATGGTCCTGTATTTGGCTCCATCCATCTTCCCATCAATTTTAACCATCTTCCCGGTCCCTGCTGAAGAAAAGCAGGCCCAAACCATGATGCTGCCACCACCATGTTTGACAGTGGGGATGGTGTGTTCAGGGTGATGAGCTGTGTTGCTTTTACGCCAAACATAACGTTTTGCATTGTTGCCAAAAAGTTCGATTTTGGTTTCATCTGACCAGAGCACCTTCTTCCACATGTTTGGTGTGTCTCCCAGGTGGCTTGTGGCAAACTTTAAACGACACTTTTTATGGATATCTTTAAGAAATGGCTTTCTTCTTGCCACTCTTCCATAAAGGCCAGATTTGTGCAGTATACGACTGATTGTTGTCCTATGGACAGAGTCTCCCACCTCAGCTGTAGATCTCTGCAGTTCATCCAGAGTGATCATGGGCCTCTTGGCTGCATCTCTGATCAGTCTTCTCCTTGTATGAGCTGAAAGTTTAGAGGGACGGCCAGGTCTTGGTAGATTTGCAGTGGTCTGATACTCCTTCCATTTCAATATTATCACTTGCACAGTGCTCCTTGGGATGTTTAAAGCTTGGGAAATCTTTTTGTATCCAAATCCGGCTTTAAACTTCTCCACAACAGTATCTCGGACCTGCCTGGTGTGTTCCTTGTTCTTCATGATGCTCTCTGCGCTTTAAACGGACCTCTGAGACTATCACAGTGCAGGTGCATTTATACGGAGACTTGATTACACACAGGTGGATTCTATTTATCATCATTAGTCATTTAGGTCAACATTGGATCATTCAGAGATCCTCACTGAACTTCTGGAGAGAGTTTGCTGCACTGAAAGTAAAGGGGCTGAATAATTTTGCACGCCCAATTATTCAGTTTTTTATTTGTTGACAGTTTTATCAGACTGACTTACCTAATAAACTGCCAGCTGAGTGTATTATTAAGATGTGGCCTGTTTGGCCAGATCCTGGGATAAAATTACCTTTGTTTTTATTATTACTAAAAACTGGGAAATTTAAATGATGCTTGGATAAGGTGTCCTTGACAAAGAGTTAGAAACATCTGAGTCTCTATTTAAATGTCTATTTAACATTTCATTACTGTAGGTATCCAAAAGAGCAATAAAAAAATTACATGAACACCTTCTCTCTCTTTTTAAAAATATATTTTTTGACATCCATCCATTTTCTCTGTTAATCACTTTGTTTTCTTTGAGCTCCTCCTCCAGTTCCTCCCCTATTTTTGCTCACTCTCTCCCTCTGAATGCATAATAAGCATGTTTCCATCAAACAACAGACTGGAAAGGAGCTCATACAGCATTGTGGAGTATAGCCCAAGCCAGGATCTTTGAAAACCCCCAAAAGAAGCAAAATACAAGACAGAAAGTCTAAGAGCTTCAACAAAAAGAAGTTCTGCTCCAAATAGAGTTTGCTTAGAAAGTGTTTTCTGCGTTTTCTAAAGCAGAATTGAAATACAAATACACAAAAATATCTTTCAGCACCTACATGTTCTACATATGAATATTTATTGAACCTTCAAACCACAATACTGCAGGCTGTGTACAGCTGTAAAAAGGGTTAGTTCAGGTGGTTCTGACGCTAAATTCTATCTGGTTTTAATCAAGTGAGTTATTACTTTGTGTTTTGGTGTATAAATCAGAGCATGTACAACAGTGTGTTATGCTCCAAACATGAGTAGCAGATTTTTGGCATACATACTGTAACATCATATCCTGAACCACTTGTCACTTGTAAGTCATGTGCAAAACTCGACTCTACAAATGTCTGTTACATGGAAAAAGTTACTAACGAAACAAAAAAACAAAAAATTCAAGGGAGTACTTACAATAATGAGCAGTATAAAATATATAAAATTGTAGAAGGAGTGTGCATCCATGACGTAGTACATGATATCTACCCATCCTTCCAGTGTGATGACCTGGTGGTGGAGATAAAGACAGTGAGACACAGAAAGAGAGAGAACTCCTGTATTATCATGAACAAGAACATTTGTAGCTCGGCCCACTGCTTTTTCTTCAAAAACATATGACCAACACACCCACACATGCACAAAACTGTGCACACAGACACTCAAAGTACACAGTCAGTCAGATCCAGTACACTTCCAATTCTATTTTTAATGGCTATTCCTCAGGAGAAAGCCTGTTGTGTCCCTATGTGTGTGTGTGTGTGTGTGTGACGCAGCTCTTTCGTGTAGCCACTATGCTAATGAGCAGTTGAGATGCTGAGACCTGAAAGCGGTGGCTCAGCTCAGCCAAGCTGATTACACTGTCACACCTTAACATTTACCCCTCGGCTAGCATAACACATTACAGCATAAACACCCAACAACGGCCCACTGGCAGGTACCCACTGCCTGACAAGTGACTAATCTGTTCTCTTCTGAAATGCTCCACTTACAGCAGATTAACAAAGGAGCCGAGGATTCTCATTCTCACACACCTGTACAATATAATCATTCTGCATCCTTGGATTCTATGGAAACAGACACAAAACAACCATGATGCAAGTCTACCTGGGCCATGTGAGACAAAGTTCAGAAGTTCAGACAGGCCTCATAAATATCCCTTAACCAGACTGCGCTTCATTCATACAAAGGGGTCCTACAAATTAATTAGTAATAAATGATGAGTGAAGTGAACGATCAAATGAAGCTACTGCAAAATGCTGGACGTTCTGAAAGAAAGTAATCCCAAACAAACCTGACTGCACATTCAGACCACCAAACAGCTCACTACACTTTCTATTACCAGAAGTAAAAGTGCCTCTAAAATCCACACAGTAATCACTAGGAGTACTGCACAATCCTACCTAGCTGAGAGCCAGCTGAGCCTCAGGCTTGGCCATGGTGGATGTCCAACGGCTAGACAGTGCTATATAGAAATCCCAGGGGAATTCTGAATTAAATCAGTTTGGAGCCATGGGTAGAAGTGTTTTCAAAACCCTGCACTGCAATATATAATTAATGTTATTAACATTTACAGATACTGAGGGAATAAAGCCGTAGACTGCGATAACAAGCAACGAAGCTCATTTAACATTTAATATAGCACTCTCATTTCTTCAAAATGCTGTCTACCTCTCTGCCTGTGTATCTGTAGCTCCATCACTTTTCCGGTTTCATCTCTCATTTCTGTTATTGTTTCCAAGCAACAGTTTAAAATGATTCAAAAAATTTAATTTTTAAGGTTTTGATGCTTTGTCATTGTAATCTCTCAATGTCTGCATCACCATTAATCAAAAATAATGTTTTCATTGTTACAGACAATTGACTGACAAATGTTATACAAAGCTTTTTTCAGCACTGAATACAATGGAGGAATTTCAAACTTCCCTAATTAAGCACCTTCTGGTTGCATGCAACGTGTTTAACCCTGGCAACGTGTGTCTTTCATTTTCCATGCATGATGCTGAACTTTCACAAATTTTAAACACAAAGACCATCAGAATATCCTGATTCCAATTTCTAATTTCTGTTTCTGCTTCACCTACTGTCAGTGAGTACTAAGTACAGCTTTTTCATTCTTTGTATATCTCTGCCCTCACATGTTAAAATTCTAATCAGAGGCAAACAACGGCCTTGAGATGCAGATGCACATCGCATACATTGTACAGCGTACCCGGCTAGAAAACAAATCTCATTTAAGACTCAAAATGATGCTTGCTAAACCATCCTTAAAAAAAACAGCAAACTCTAATCTTCAAAGCCTCTCGCTGCAAGTCCACACACACAATGGAAAGTTGCAAGCACCTAACATGGATTAGTGTGTCTGTTTGTGAGTGCGCTCAGTATTTGGACTGTTTGTGCTAATTTGAAGACTTTCTTTGAAAAAGTCATTTTGTGCAAGTCAAAGCCTATTAGACACAGAGCCAGATCTATCAGCGGGTCCTGGACAAATCTATTAGAAGGGCGGAGAGTCGTATCACAACAGAGCAGACAGTGTCAGCACAGAGACTGTGATAAGGAAAAACCTGTCGCTGTCTAGGGACCTGGCATCAGGACCAGTGTGTGAGGAGGAAGGGGCTTTCAGGGACATGCTGTCTGATGGCACGAGTGGAGGACTTTCTAACAAGGTCACACTCAAAGTTCAACACATCTGGAAAAATCAGTTAATGCTGTGTTGTCTTTGACTGATGAGTCAATGCACAGAGACTCATAGCAGTGAGCTTACACTCCAGTGGGGGCCACAAACAGCGAGTGTGTTTGTGTGATATTGTAATAAGGATCACATATTATACTTTCATATTTTTAACTTCTTTGGAACAAATGTCTGCATGAATGTAGTCTAATGTAATGTAACTAACTACAAGTTCACTTGTCAACAAAATGTAGCTTAAATCATAACCAGCTCATCAAGGTTTTAGTTCTTCTTACCTGAAATATGGCTATCCAGGCGTAGCCAATATTGTCAAAGTTGACGGCTCCCTTGTGTGGGTTCAGGTCTCCAGGGCGACACACATTATAATATTGGTTCCAGTTAACGCAACCATTAACATGTGCCCCTCCCACCACCGGGTCTGAGCCAATCAGAGCTGGACTTTGGTGAGGAGCAGCCAGTGAGCACGTGTTCCCTTCTTGGATGAAGGGCGGCACGCTGTGGCAACGCCGCATCCCGTTTTCACGGGCAGCTGAGCAGATAAAGGGGCTGTCTTCACCTTCCTCTGACATGTAGTAAGGATTTATGGACAAGTTGTACATTCTGGATGGAAAAAGAATTAAATAAACATCTGGCTATGTTGTTACAGTGAATCAAATATGGATCCATTTAGCTTCGATTGTAAATATCTCATTAGCTTTTTTTTTGTTGTTTGATTGATTTTGCTGTATATATACATTTTCCATTATAGGTTAGATTTGTAATATAGCTACAGTGAGAACTGACTGATATGCACAGTGAGGAATGAACCAGTTTCAGATTAGTGGAGTAATATAATATAGGCCTACAGACAACAGAATACACAGTATCCCATTTGTGATTAGAAGCAACACAGTGATTTAGTCTAAGTCACACTGGTTTATAATCAATCAGGAATTGGTCAGACACTGTCTAAAAATGTTTATATAAAAAAAGAGAAATACTTTTCAGGACCTTGACTATGACATAAAAATCATTTTGCTTCACCAATAAGCAGGATAAACTGAATCAGATGTTAACAAATAGAGTAATCGCCAATAGTCGACATAGCAATGAGTTATTGTAAGTGGGCTAATATCCAGATGCAGATTTTTGTTTGAATTTCCCCAAAACAACAGTGATCTTCTGCTCTCGCTCTTAACATGTTCTAGTCTTCAACAGCATCTGAATTTGTGATTTTCACTGTTGTCATAAATCAACAGCAAACGTGTGTGCAGGAGCTCATAAATCTACAGCCGTTACAGACACAAGAGCTTCAAATATGTTAAGAATCTTGCCTAGAGGCTGTAGCCACTGCGCACTACTTTAACTGCTGCCATGAAGTTGCAGTTATTTGTCTGGTTTCCTTTTGTAGTCATTGCAGCCAAAGCTAGCTAACTGCATGCACAATTATTAGGATATAGGACATAATAACTGAAAAGCTGAGTGAGCAAGATACCTATCAGTGTCCATGGTGACGGTGTGTGTGCCTTTATGTGACGTGGGAGGGACCACTTTGGTAAAAGGTCTAACTCTTTGCCAGACTGTCTACATTCTTATAACCTCTTTGCCTGGTGAAGTTCTGTTTATGTCTGGACTCTCCATTGTTTGACTAACCTCTACCTACCGCCTGCGAACTTTAAGCCTGATTTTGGTGAACCTAAATTTTCTTTTCACCCCACATCCAAACATACTTTGCTTATTTGAGACATGTTAGCATTGCAAGCACAGAAAATGTTATTTCCCAGGCTCCTGAAAGCTTCCGGAGATTAACTTTGCTGAAAGACACCCAGCAGCAGAAACAGCAATATGTAACAAATATTCATGGGAATATTTGAGAGGAAAACTACTGGAGAAAAAAGAAAAATCAATTTAGTGTTTGTTTGAGAGTTGTGTATAATTTTGTTATGATTTCCAAAAACTAACTGAAGAATGATGCATGATTTTCTTGCTTGCAATATCAGAGTCAGTGTTCATACTGTACCGGAGGTCAGACAACCATTTTCTCTGTGAGGGAAAACACAGCAGCCTTGGTCATAAAATAATAAGCTGCTGTTCTCTTTCTGTCTTTCTTTTTTTCTCTCTTAGGCGCAGAAAAGGCTCAGCAATATTAACTCCAATACAGTTTGGGCCATTACATTAGTTCACGGATGTCTGACATTTTTGGCTTCTCGAGGTTGTGGACACTGAAGCAGTTATTCTGTCTTGTATAATTTCACTCCCTACGGTTTTATTACCGACTCTGATCTGTTGTGTGCCTGTATTGTCTGTGTGTTTATCATGTTTGGGAGACAGTGAATGTTTGTCGGCTGTACCTATTCCATATCTATGATTTCTAAGCATAGGAGACATCTGAGAAAATAGGTTTATCTAATACATTGACAACATGTGCAGTGCCAGAAAGAAACACAGATTTCTCTCTCTTTGTGAGCTGAGTGAACACAATGTGTCCTGTCTGGGCAGCAGGTCTAGTTTTTGTTCTCTTCAGTTATCTTGGGTAATAATTTAAATTCTTTTTCTGGATTGTTGTTTTCTCTACAGGCAGGTTTTCTAATATGGTCAGGCTTCAGTGATACAATTTCTACACTAAAATCCAGATCATTTGCAAAGAAGAGGATATTTATTAGTCTAGAAATTTCATTAGACCATTCTAATTTACAGGCAAGTTCATTATCAGAGATATTAAATACCATCCTGGTCTGGCGCCACATCTGCATTTCCCTCTCTGTCTCTCCCTGCATCTCTCTATGTGGTTTCCATCCTGACATCGCTATGCCTAACAAGTCGTATTTTAGCTGCCTGTCACACCCTACAACAACTCAACAACTCTAATATGATGAAAGAGACAACAGAACAGTGGCAGAGAAAGAGAAAAGAAGAAAGATGTAAAGAAATGAAGAGAATGTAAAAGGCAGAGAGTGTGAACTGGACCATATGGATGAGGAGGACAACACCTGCAAAACAGACTTGGTGGTCAACTCTTGAGTGGGGGAAAATTGGTTGCAACATCAACAGCCAGTGTTTTGATGGTGCTTTTGTTTTTTAACTCATCTCTGTTTTCTCTATACTCAAGGAAAACAAGAGGCTGTTCCCACATATCTAATCTAGATTTGTGGGAAGGTCTTAAAGAGGCAATTTCCTGAGGTCATTTGCTCTGCTGCCCAGAGGGAAATGTGAAAGTGCAAAAAAAAAAAAAAAAAAAAAAGTATAACAACAACAAATTCCTTACATTGTGATGTTCTCATCCAGGAAGCAGCGATTACGCAGAAGCCCCGCCCACAGCTGGACTCCCACAATGCCAAAAATGAAAAAGACAAAGAAGCAGAGGAGGAGCACATTTCCCAACATGGGCAGGGTGTCCAACAGCAGTGTCACCAAGATCCGCATGCCTGCATAGTGCAACACAAATGGTAAAGATGTCATTGGAAATTATTATGACTAATTATATTAATGCCCCACATGCACAAGCACGGCCCTCAGTTTAATGTATGCTCAGAGAACCTCTACTGATCTTGTGGGCTTTATTCCCACAGCCAAAAAAAAATTACAAATGATGACAATGCTGTAAGTGACATTATTACAACCTCTGGGATTTGAGCTCACAGTGTTCCCGTGCTCAGCACCTCTCTCTAGTTGTCGGTCGTGCTTAGCGGCAGCGGACTCAGGGTTCCAGTCCCTGAAGTCCTCACAATGTGCTCTGTCGCCATTCACATACGTCACAGCTTTGTCGCACTGAACACACATTATTCTATGGCAACGGCAGACTGTAACTGTTAATGCTGACAGTGGCAATGAAGCTTAAATCTTCTTGAGTGTCTAACATTTCATGTTGGCATGTTTAAGATGGTACTTCATGTTCACAAGTTTGTATCCACATTGTATCTAACAGCGTGGTCAATTATTTCACTAAATAACATTTTTAAATGTTACAGCACATAATTATTACTGTGGAATCTTAAGGACCTGTAGAGAAAACAAAGACATCACTGAAAACATTATGAAGATCTGTAACCCACTTTTTTTGGTCTTTAGTCCTCACGGTGTGTATGAAACGGCACAATAAAAAAAAAAAAGTCTACCCTAAGTCCGTCTATCATTCATCTTTCCTTAATGACTGACTGTTTACAGTTCAGCTGAAGTTGCATGTGTGAGATACGTGGCAGCCAAGCAGACAAGGGTCAATCTATCAAAACACAACTCTAATGAGGCCATGGCCTTGGGATGGAATGGATCAGAGAAAAACTGTCTCCTAGTCAGTAAGACATATGGAGAGGATTTACAGCATGTTCATAACATCGATTAAATGTCCAGTGAAGAAAATGGTATGACGACTAGTGTGTCTCATATGTTCCATTTTTACATACCTGCCTTTTTTTTATTTCTGCCAGTTGGCTATTCTCTTTTGTTGTTGTTTTGGGTACAGAGTTGTGACTCAGCAGTACATGTCATTAAAAAATACAGAGAGAAAACTAAAAAACTAGACATCACAATTTCTTCCCTGTCTGTTAAGGTAAGGGGCGAGTGTGGTTCAGTGGGTCGTCTCCCAACCGGAGGGTAGGAGGTTTGAATCTCAGTGCCTGCAGTCCACATGTCAAAGTGTCCTTCGGAAAGACACTGAACCCCCAAGTTGCCCCCGATGGTTAGAGCCATCGGTGTGAGTTGGCGCCACAGATGGCTGCCTCGGTTCTGTACTGGAAACTAATTCCTTGTGTGTAACATACTTGGCCAAATAAAGGTGATTATCCCTAACCTTTAATTAAGGTAATGGAATTGCATGGCAAACAAGTGGCAGACTCAGTGACAGCATCTGAAAAGAAGAAAGACCATCTATACAAACATGTATGCCTTTAGAATCGGGTGCATGTCCGAAATTTTTTTTTTTACCTTCATGTTTCACACTGAAAAAGGAAAGTGTCTGGTCACCCAACTGTGCCACAGGTAAAATAAAACACCTACGTACATTCCAGGTAGAATATGACAACATGTATAACAGGACTGGAGAAAAGAAGTGTATGACTGTGCAGTGTGCAGACCCCCCGGCACACACGTCAGCCTTGTAAACAAGAAAAAAATAAATAAACAGAGCGCTGCTCACTGTATCTAGGCTACGGCACAAAAACACGACTAACAGTAGACATTTCTCATACACTTAGGAAAAAAGACAAACAGAGAGAACGGAGTTCCAGCGAAATGGTCAGAAATAAACAGAGACACTAAGTAGGGCGAGAAATACTTCAGCCTGACTATTAAGCCAAGGGCTTGCACCCTCAAACACTTGACCTCTGATCGTGATTCAGATGAACAGGAAAGCAAAGGAGGAAGTGCCACAGAGACAAAAAGAGTGAGAACAAATTAAACTGTAAACCTCCTCAGGCTCTTTCTGGTTGTGTGTATCCATGAGTATATGAGTTTGAGCCTCTGTTTATCTACACTGACCTTGAGTTTTCATAGCTACAGTATGGCACTTCTGTCCCTCTTCCCTGTGCCAGACCCCTCAGGTAGCAGTAACATAAAGTTTTACTTCATCTTGTCTGTGGCTGTAAAGTCTGCTTCTCAGTGCTACTGTTAGCTTAGCGATAATGTTACACTGTTCTGACCTCACAGAGCTGGAATAATAGAGTAAATGTGTGCATTTCTCCTTGTATGTGTTTGTGATGGTAGCTTGAGAGAAACCGGCAACCTGCCATGTGTTATTATTGTGTCTGGGTTATCTGCAGCGCCCAAAGCACCCACACACACACCATCCGAAACACGCATTGTACAAATACATAACGTCGTCATTTGCGTGGGAGAATCTCGGGTCAGCCGGTGTCACACGCTAACAACTTAACAGTTTATTCTGGGAAAGTGGGGTCATCATTCAAACACATACACACACGGTTCTGTTAGTTTGCTGCAGCCAGACAGCAGGCAGACGTCTATAACCCAGGCGACAGCGTAGTACAGTAATGCTCCCCTGGGTTCTCCAATGGTGTAAGAATTGATTTTTTTTTATTAAATTGTGTTTTATGAACAGTAAAATCAACTTAATCAGTAAAAATGTCTAAAACACTGAAACAGTTCAGTGTAAAACAAGACAGAGAGAAAGAAACAGGTCTTTTGAACCAAACGGTTTGGCCGCTTGCCTAACATGCACTGGTTAATAATCCTGTACAGTGTTATGACACTGTTGTCTAGTGATCCTCTTTAGCTGCAGATTCATGGCCACTTCTGTCACAGAGCTTTTAAGAAAATGACAAACTATGTGTAAGTTCTCACTGAACAGTGGCGCGGTGCAAAAGTGAGATTAAAGCCAACATCAAGCCACAGATCACTGGTCAGTTCAGCCTTAAGGGGTGACAACAGATACAAAGACATTGCTACACATAGATCTGCTTTTGTGCCAATACTGGCACAGTAGGATGTGAAAGACAGTTTAGGATACTTTACTTTCTTCCTGTGCTATCGCTGGTCATAATACAACCCCTCAGCATTTTTATGCTGTTTTCAAAATGCTCTAAATTGCTTTCACCCGGTGTCTCTGATCACTAATTGATAATTAAATGACTTACTTGGTACCCTGTTGATGGCCCGCAGTGGCCTGAGCACCCGGACAGTACGAATGGCCGATAGGCTGGCGTTATGGCCATCCAGAGAATACTCCATCACCCTAAAGTCACCATCAGAGAAATGCAGAGAGAGAGAGTTTTAATACACTCTGTTTTATGAAAAGCTAAACAGTGCACACACATATTTACACAACGAGCCAAAACAAGAAAACAGCAAACAGCAAAATTATAATAATGCTTACAATAATCTGCATAATTGCAGGACATATTTCATTTAATTACATGGAATCAGAAGCTCTTTTTCCTTTGTATTGGAGCAGCCAAACATGATAATGTGACAGTACTGAAGTAGATAGGAAGAGACAGTTAGGGTCTTAACTGTGTTAGTGTTGTGTCTTGAGCTCTGTGATTGTGTGTGTGGAGTGTAGGAGTAGCTAAAGTAATGTCTGTTGCTGACTGGGTCCTGCTCTTGTCTCAAGTTGTACAGTGGCCCCATCGAACAGCCTGGGTTGCAACAGGAGCAGTGTTCATTCCACCAGTCTCTAATTGTTAGTCTTTGATTCTCATGGTTGTATATTGAGACTGCTCAGGTAAACACCGACTTGTACAGTATATGTCTTACATCAGAAGGAGTGGTGATTAAATGACTTTTTCTTTTCTACATCTTATCTTCTTTGCTTATTTTCAAGATGTCTGTTTTCAGGTAAGAGCGTCCTGCCACATATCATTACAGACACAGTTTACAACAATTCGACTGCAGCTTTCTAGTTGGTGAGGCCTGATGTGGTTGGTAGCAGGGGACAGCATTTGCTCTTATGTTGCACCCTTATTCCCGCAGATGGGGCAGAAACAGAAAGCACAGTGCCCCTACTGTATGTGAAGGTCACTCTAGTTTGATAATGATATGGCATTGTGAGGACAAAAACAAAACGCACATAAACACTCCCCAGGCACCTGTATGCACCTGTATCGTACACATTTGTCATGTGGCAGCTGTGAGTTGTCAAATTTACTCCTCATGTGTGTGTGTGTGTGTGTTCATGTTTGTTTGTGAAAAATTGCATTCGTGCTTGTGATTGTTTACTTTGTGTTCAACATCAGAGTAACAGAAAGAAACAAAATGTTTTTTATTCTAAGAAAACTGTGATTATGGAACTGAAGATAACAGAAAATGGAGCAATTTGTGGGAATGAGCAAAAAGCATTGTGGGATACCAACCCCGCCATAACGATGACAAAGTCAAGCTGGTTCCATTTGTCACCAAGGTAACAGTTGGAGCCAAAAATTCCCAGGGCCACCATCTTGATGACCATTTCCACGGCAAAGAAAGCAAAAATACAGTCGTCCAGTACCTGACCACACATAATAAAAGAACCAAGACAGAATTCATGTTCAACACTGACAAGAATAACAATGAGAGGCAACTGACTTTTTGTCATCAGAAAAGGTCACATTCTCATTAAGGCTACTCATCAATACAGCGTCACATTTTGAAAGAAACTGTGGATGTACCAGAGGAGGCTGTCTGCAGAAGGATTCTTTCCTCATCTAGTTAGTTTCATTCCAGCTAAGAATAGCTCTGGCTTAGCATGGTTATGGTTATGTCTCAGTTAATTAGACATCTACCACAGCAACATCTCAGGGAGCTACAAATCAGAATTACTTTTCAGTGTGGGCATGTTGAAACTGATGACTCAAGTGAGAGAGGAGAATGAAGTTTTCATTACCATTTATTTACCATTTAGACTTAATGTTATTGCTCTTCTAGTCACTTCACATCCAGTCTGAAAGCAATCTTTGGTATAAAGGAAACATTTTATTTACAATCAGTTATCATTAGTCCTCTACATCATAATGTTAAATGCTGACCATGTGTTTACATTTAGAGAAAGGAAATGCAGCTTCCATACAAAACTTTCTATATGGAACAAGGTGCTCATGCAATCGTAAGGACTAGAGCGGTGCACTAACCTGTAGGACGCGGCACCACTCGGACTGGCAGGCGACATCTTCACAGGGCCGAAACATCCCTAGAGTCACACAGTTGAGCAGGATCACCAGCATGGACACATGCTCGAACCAGGTGCAGAAAGAAGTTAAGGTTAAAGTGCATAGGGCATGAGGTGACATCAGCAGCAGCACAGGATGGAGGATTACAAATGTAAATTATATGACGCATTGCAAGGGAGACATGTATTGTTAGCACACAAGCCAGCTTCCTCTTCTCTCCCTGGGTTCTGGGGTGGAGTTACTAGGTGTGGCTGGCAGGGAGTGAGCACAGCTGTAGCCTGTGTGCCAATTAACTCCTGGGCATTTAGTCTGGGCACAGCTGTCTCCTCCTTGCCAGTCAGTTTTTGCTGTCTATGCAGTAACTCCCCAGCCAACACTCTATTCAAGAGTCTTTCTGCTCCTGAAAACGTTGTCAGCCTTGTTGCTCTTGTATCTCTCCTCTGTTTTCTGGTTCCCTTGCTTCCCACTCACCTCGATGTGATTCTGCCACCTGCCCAGGTAATCTCCCTGGCTCCTAATGACCTCGTTTCTACCTGACTGGGGGGTTTTCCTATCTTTTATTCTCCTCCTCCACATCTCGACTCAGCTCAAACTCCTGGTGTTCCTCAAAGAAGCCTACCCATCGACTCGCCAACAGCTACCTTGCATCACCCTCCACCTGTCCTGAGTCGGCTCCTCGTTTCTCACCCTGACGCTCTCCCTCTCCCAACTCCACTCTACTGGGGCGGTAGACAATCCAGTGGCTCCTCTGTATCAACCCAGTCCTCACTGTTTCCCTTCCCTTGGCTTCAGTCCTTAATAAAAATACAAGTTTTGTTGTCTGAATCCTGCTTTGGTGTCCAGTCTTGTGCCTTTGGCCCTAGGCCGTAACATCTATATGCCATAGTAATGTTTATTTCAAGTGAGATGCAATGTTAGTTGCACTTTAAGAAAACAAAACAGGTTTTCACTGTGCTTTTAAACTATATAATTAATATTAATTCTGCAAACAGTTTCTACTCCTGTCATGTGGTATCCAGGGTAGGTATGTTCAGGTACCAGCCACATGCACGAGCAGGACGGTCCAAACAGACCTGCTGTAGAACGAGACGATCAAGAATGCCTGCAGAAGGAGGAACAGCTGATGCATCAAAGAACAGGACACTGCCTTTCCCATGATGCTGGTCTGATGTTAAGTGTTTCAGTGACTGCTCATGCTGTTGGTCACACTAACTAGAGACAACAGTAGCAATATCTGTGCTCTAGGAGACAAAAGATATTACTGTATGAGATACAAACCAGGAAAAAAGCAACTAAGAATAGGAGAGTAAATGACACTGGACACAAACACGGGACCCGGATGTTTTGTGTGAGCCTAATGCACCTAATGGGTCTAATAATGACCCCACTGGCTGCTAATCTGCTTACGCACCATTCCTTGTTTCCACAGAAACAGTTTAATGGGTCCTTGTCTACTGTATATCCTGTTGAAATGTTTGCTGGCATTGATCAATTTAGAGGCAAATCCCTAAAATCATCCTGGTGCATCGCTGTTAGGGATGGAGACTTTGTAATCCTGCAGTTCAAGGCTGGAAATAAAGTATGACAAAGCATACATATAAAGTGAAGTCTCACTTTCTTGTTACAAGAAGAAAACATTATTTCAACAGTACATGAAAGTCAGACATCTTCTCTGGGCTGCTTGTTTTATCCTTTTTGGATTATTTTTTTAGGACAAAGCAGTAGGTTACAGAGGGCACAGTCAACAGTGGATTTGTTTCCTTTCATTTCTTAAAGGAGCTCCAAATGCCACTGGTCTATAGGGAAATAGAGCCAGCAACAGTGGTACCACTGTGTTGACAGACATTTGATAGACTGCGTTGGAATTCCTCTGCCTCTGTGGCAGCATGAAAATCGCATCCTCGTTTCTACTGGCTGGATGAAAAATGACAAACTGACCTCCATCAGCTCCAAAATACAATCATTCCTTTCGCCTGTTTTTCTTTTCATCAAAACAAAACTTATACAACAAAGGGAAACATCAAAAGAAACATGGATGAGCAAATAATTGATTGGTACGGTCACACTTACTGATAAGTTCATAAATCTATCCTAGCAGCACGCACACAACATACTGCAGCTTGATGCAAAGCCATAAATCAAACCAGTCTATAAAACTCAAGTGCTTCTGTGACCTCAGTCATTTTAGAATACGTCTCATCATCATAATGAGAAAAAAGAATACACATTAAGTAAATCAAAGAGTACAAGGAGAAGATGAGAGACAGGAAGCGAGCAGGACGGCAAAACAGACTGGAGGAGAGAAATTGACAACGGGAAGTGGCCTTAAATCATGTCGCCTCCGTTAGAAGAAAGAAACTGATGCTGCAGTTTTTCTACTTTAGTTTGGCTTTTGTCCCACACACACACATGCAGTGATTTGGTGTGCGCTGTTAGTTAGGGTAGCAAACTATTCCCAGGGTGGCGTACTGTTCTAATTAGACAGGGAATTAAGGCACAAAACAAACAGTCTTCTACATCACTGACACACAGAGATATACATGCATACAGTCACAAAACACACATACTATACTATATATGTGGGTTTATACATATTATATGCAAATTACATCAAGTTTGTGTTGTGTGTTGCACGCACACACACAAATACACACAGACACAACTGGGACTTACTGCAGTGACCGGGGCCAACACGGAAGTTAGTATCAGCAAAAAAAGACAGACCTAAAACTTTTCTTTTGTTAAAGTAAGAGCTGCGGCCTGCTGCAGATGTTCTGGTGTGTAGAATAGTTTCTCTGCAGTGTCGATAAATGGTCAGTTCAGAACAAAAACGTCACCTTCCCCAAGACATGTGGCCAAACTTGGCTCTATGGTCAAAACATGTTTCCACACTGTTTGTTATTCAATTTGTAAACCACAGAAGTCACAGCACCAATATCAAACAAACATAAAGTACAAACTGACAACGTAGCTCAACATACTGTATCTCTAGTTACTGATATTCAAATACACTGAAGCCCATAGATACAATAAAACAACATGAACCATACGTGATCATATGCTTTTACCAACAAGTGGGACAGTAATAAAGATAAGGGATATTAATGAACATTAGGATTCCTACACCCTGTTGGTTAAACAGCAGATTTTCATTAGCAAATGTGGCTGTGGATGGATAATAAAACATTTTAATCCATCACTTGCAGTAACTTTACATTTTAGAAGAAAATGTACTAAAATAAAAAACAAAAGAAGACAGTGCTCTGCTCCCTCCAACACACCATCTGCAGGCCTATTAGCAGGTCTGACAGAGGATTCCCTGAGCCTCGGCTGCCGTTACTCATTAATATCAAGCTCCTTTATTAACCAGACCTGACAACTGTGCAATGGGCTCTACCAATGTGTGTGAGGGAATTTAACTGAAATGAGAGATAATGAAATCAATTAAATTCTGTTAACAATGTTATTACTTTATACGCTCATCTGAGCAAAAAACCTGCATGTCTTTGACATATATCTTGTGTTGCTCACAGTTTGATGTGATAATATTGTGATAATGAGTGAAAAAGGCCTGTCTGGTTATTTATGGAATGAATGGTCTCTGCCAATGTGCCAAGCTCCCACTGACATGCTTTGCAGCAGCTGGATTTTAAAGTTACCAGAAGCCCTGCTACTGTGGGAGGCAGAGGGAATGGAAACCCTGCTGTTTATCCTCTGGGGACTCATTTAAAAAAAGAACAAGAGGGAGAAATAAACCAGTCTGAGTGCTTAACATTTTAGGGGGTACAGTATGTAAAACAGGGGAACTGTGGCAGGCAGTGTGAGATATGAGTGGTATGTTAAACGGTCAGTCAAGTTAACAGGCCACGTTCAAACTGGGAGCAGATCATTTTATTCAGTGATTCTGCAGATGCAGCAACAGATCTGAGTTACGGTGCCCTGAGAGGAGTATATACACACACACACACACACACACACACACACACACACACACACAAAGTCAAGCAACATAAGGGCGATCCTTCCTCCACAGATGAAAGACTGTAATCTGTAGAAGAATTAAAATGAGAGATTTGAATATCCAGAGAATGTCTGTCTCTCGTGATGGTTTGTGCCTCCCTGAGCCCTGCTTCATCTAATTCCTCTTTAATCTCCACAGTCAACACCTCCTGAGCCCCCTTCTGTCTTCAGCTTTCCGCCCACCCGCCCAACACACACACACAGATGTATGGATGCACAGTCACAGACATTAATATGTAAGTGCTTAAAGTCAAGCCTGGCTGTTGCTGCAAAACGAGATCAGCATATGCCTTGGTTTGCAATAAACAGCGAATAACAAAGATCCTGGTGTTTCACACACATACACACAAGTTCAATTGGTGGCGTGCGGTTGCTGTATGTCGGCCCTGTGCAGTGCCGAACCTACTGTAGGCCTGGAACACAACGCGCCAGGTCTCACTTGTTAAGGCTGATTTATGCCTCAGCACATTAAGCAAATCAACTTAGGTCTGTGTCATGTAACAATGGATGTGAGGGATTGTGGATTCTTGTAACTCTAGCATCGGGGAATAGTTCAATATTTTTATTTATCACCTACCCATATAATAAAGATGGGGTATAGGGATCACACCAATGGAGCTTTCATACAGTCTAAATTGTTAAAATTTTTTGATTTAGTGGGATATAAGACTGCTGTGTTTATGTATAAAGCCAGGAACAATTTATTACCTGGTGGAATTCAAAAACTATTTAATGAAAAGGAAGGGGGATATAATTTTAGGGGTCAGATAAATTTTAAAATTCATGCTATACGTACAACCAAAAAAAAGATTCTGTATTTCCATAAATGGGGTAAAACTATGGAATAATTTAAGTGTAGACATAAAAAATAGTAATAGAATTGACGAGTTTAAACATAAATATAAAGGTATGTGTCAATCAAGATATATGCAAGAACAGGTTTAATGATTAATTAGATGGAACATTGTGGGTGTGGTGTATGAATGATAATACTCTGTAATAATTCTTTAATATATTACTTGTGTGGTGTAGAAGATAAGTATCTATGTAGAG